TTGCGGGGCCCTTAAGTACTGCAGATGGCAGCAGCAGGGGGGACCGGCCAGGCTGTCAGGGACCCTACCCCCAAGCAGAGATCTGACCCCATAACGGGAGAAGAGCCAGAGAGACCACTAGGGACTTGGCTATTGCAATTGATTTTATGTCGGAGGCGCCTAGATATTGGTATCCATCAGCCAGATAAAACCCTAAGGCAGACGGATAGATCGCTGGGCAGGGCTGGGTGTAGAGGGGAAGCTGGTGGGGTTGGATGTGGGGGGGTTGAGAGGAATGAGCCAGTTGTGGAGGGGAAGCCGCAGCTGGACACAAACCCTGCGGGCTAGATGCCAACTGGGTGATAAAATGAAGGAGGAATTTGGGGAGATAGAGACCAGAGGCAGGGCGGGTTCTCTGAAGAGTTGGGCAGCTGTCTGAAGGGATTGGACAAATCACATTTGTGCCCTGTTTCAGGGTCTCTCGCTGCTGCCGCTAGCTAGCCCTGCCGAGGGGGCTACTGATCTGATCGTGCACCCCCAGTAACAGACACTGCTGATGCTTGGGGTGAGAGGAGCCTGGGCCCAGACGGGATCCCCCAACTCCTCTCCCAGGAGCTGCAGAAGAAGCAGAGAGGGGTGGGGTGGGGAACTGCAGTCAGGTGACACATGCGAGTCCCCACTCTGCTGCCCCCAGGCACTGAGAGGGCAGCACCCCCAAAGCTTGTTGCCTCCTGCAGGGCTTCCCTCTGTCACTGCCCACCTCCCCAGTCACTGGGAGGGCAGAGCCTTCCTCGCCCCTTTATGGGGTCTGCTTCTCAGTCACTGTCAGGGCAGTGCCAGGGTCTCAGCACCAGTGGGGTTGGGGCAGCAGTTTCCTGCTTCTAGGCCAGAGCATCTTGCCAGCGTTGAGCAGTGGGTAGCGCTATTGTGTGTATGTCTCCATCTCCAAACCCAGCATTTCCTGGCCCGGTGTAAAACCAGAAACACCCTGGAATAGCATTTTAATAAATAAAATTGTTACAAAAACCAGTGGATACTCTTAGAGACACTTAAGAACAATATTTTAGTAATGAAAACAGACTTATAACACACCGTTTTTATCCCACTGCGACCCAGGACCATTTTTAACACGAAAAGGACCTGGAAAAGTTGGTTCCAAAGTGGCCAAGGGAACAAATGTTTTACATATGGCACGTTACCTTGAGGACAACATTTTAGCAATGAGAACCCATTACTAGCACACTGGCATTAACCCGTTCTGGCCCAGAACATTTTTTTTTAAACACCAAAAAGGACCCGGATCCAGAACCGAAGAGATCCCGGGGATGATATTTACACCTACAGCACATTCCCTTCAGGACAATAGTTTAGCAATGAGAATCAAGTAGCAGCAAACTAGTATTAACCCGGTTCTGGCCAACTAGCGTTTTTTTAATGCCAAAAAGGACCCTCAACACATGGTTCCAAAGTGGCACAAGTGACCAAAATGGATTGTGTAAATCATGAACCTGTACTCCCACTGCAGCCTTTTATACTGCCTCATTTCCCTGAGCAGACCTGCCCCATCATGGGGTGCATGGAAATGGTGCAGAAGGTTTAGAATTGTCCCCACCACACACACACTCTCTCTCTCTCTCTCCTGGCTGAACTTCTCCCCCTAATGCTTTGTTGCTTATCTCTGACTAGTGCTACAATCTATAGAGAATATGAACAACAGCTACTCTGCATATCCTTAACTGAAGCTGTGTAGCTGCGTCTGTGTGTGTGCATACTCATTTGTGGAGCTATGTGCGTACATTAAGGGATAGTCACTTTCACACACAAACACATCCACGTTCAGCTACATGTACTTGCAACAGTAGCAACAACAAACGCATAACCGTTCACATGTCATCTCACTCTCCTGCAGACCTGATACGTCGGAGCTGGCCCCATTATAGATTTTTCAACCTGATTCTGATCTCATTCACTATTGGTTTACGCCAATGTAACACCACTGATGTCCATGCAACTACTCCAGGTTTACATCAGTGTG